AAACACCATGCTTCCAGTTTACTGAGACGCTGCCCTCGCCGTTCAAAAAATTCAAGATCTTTAAGTAATGCTTCAATCTCAAAAACGCGCGTTTGCCAATAATTTTTTACCTGACCAACTCCCATCGTTGCACTTTTCAAAGCCTCATGTAATGATTTAACTGTCATTTCGCTGTTTATCTGAACTTCCAATTTACAAATTTCCTTCTTGATCTGCTCGATATGCGCAGACGCATCGATAAATGTTTTGACGCCGATGCTTCCAATAACCACACTTACACCCTCCACAAGTATTAATTCAGGTCCCAAAATACTAGACGCTAGAGAAACCATACCCAACCCTAACCCGACTAACTGTTTTGTTGCCGAATTGTTTTTACCTCGTTGTAAACACTTTAGTTCTTCCTTTTTATCGTCGAGAGTTTCCAAGTCATCTCCCATATTATTCAAATAAGCCTTCAACCTGTTGCATATTTCTCTGAATCTTGTTTCAAAGTCGTTAGCAACGGTTTCGTTTTTTCTCACAAAAGTCAAAAGTATTTCCACCGCATTTTTATATGCTACAAGGTCTGTGCATGATAATCCAAGAAGTTCATCACGTGCAACCATCTTGAGACTGTCTTTGAACATAGTATTGCTCGCAAATAAAGAAGCCATGACGGTTTTGCAAAATAATTCCCTGCTGGTTTCGACTTCCTCAGTAATACACTTTATAAGGTCCTGGCGTTTGGCTAACTCTAAACATGTCTTAAATTCGTTAGCAGCGGCTATTATATGCGCGATTATTAAATCGGTAGGTGTATAGGAGCTTTCTGAATCCACGAAATTCATTGTTTATCGTGTGGGATTGTAAAAATTTGGTTTTCGGAGATTGGAAGAATTTTGGTAAGGAATGAACAAACGTTAGAAAAAGAAAAAACAACAAATAATTGCGGGTGCGTGGTTCACGTTTTTGTGACACAATTATACCAACGAAAACTGTGCAATACAGTCAACGTCCCCTACAGTTATAGGATGTTCGGTCCCAGTCATTTTCACAGTCACACGATTTTTGATCACTATTGCACAACATGGAAAATTCAAATACTTGTGTCACCTTTCCTAATTTTAAATGCACGTGTTATTAATCATATCATGCTTTGTAATAATAATATTTGAGCATAACATTATCAATTAAGAACATTATTTGCATCATCTGTACAATAGAAAATTGTTGTATTTTATTGATTAATATCGCTGCAAGTCAAAAATAAAAGTAATTTCAAAAATGTCAAAGCATTTATCTAAACACAATCTCGACTGAGTATAGAAAATGAATGTAAAATTGGTGAATATCCTAGGCGACATCCGAACGTGAAGCATAGCGATATGATAAAGTATTTTAATGAGAAGTTTAATCTTACGATTGATTGTTCGACTGTTAGCAAACCAAACAATGTAGGCATAGCTGTTAGTGACTCGCAAGTACATGAATTTACTTAACCTCAAAGCTTCCAATCAAAGCGTCAACAACTTACTTTAGTACTGGTTGATTTTTAATTTTTATCTATACAAATAATAATAAAATAACAGAATTATAATAATACAAGTCACACTAATGTAAGTCTCCCAGTCACACTCTCATACAGTTATTTGATCCCAACTGCGTGACTGTAGGGGAGGTTGGCTGTAGTACAATTTCCGGTATGGATGGATATGATGTCACACAATGATTGTACACGTGGTGTAAATTGTGATTATACTTTTGCCTTTGTAACAAATAACATTAAAGTAGACGTTTTCTAAAATGAAATTTTACTACTTGGTCACGTGGAAGCAATAAATAATGCCGTGATTGTATTATGCGGTATTACGTTTACACGGGAACGATAATAATTGTCTTTCGCTAAATTTCTCGCAACAGTGTCAAGATGGATTCAGAAAGCTCGTATACCACTGCCACTTCGATAAGCTCGCTTATTATAACTACCGGCCAAGAATTTAAGAAATGTTCGGAACTAGTAAAAACCCAGAGTCTTGTACAAAGTATCGCTGAAGAAATCGAAAACAACGCAGCTTTATTTTGCGAGACAATAATGCGTTCTGTAATTGTATGTAAAAGTACTGGAATCAAAAGTCGTAAGGTGACCGCACATATTGAACAACTATGTAATGATGTTATGGAATGCAAAGATGCGGTGGAAATACTTTTAAACTTTATGAGAGATGACGAAAACGTTGTTAACGGTCTCGACAAGACATTTAGAAGGATCTATGACAACTTGAAAGGTTGTTCGACTGATATAAGTGACTCCCTGGAAACCCTTAACAGTAAACGGGAAGAGCTGAGACGCTTACAACAACGTAAAAATAAGTCGGCAACAAAGCGGTTATTTGGGTTGGGATTTGGCATAATTTCTCTAGCGTATAGCATTTTAGGGTCTGAAGTGGTATTTTCTGATGTAACTGTGAAGATGGAGAGTGTGAGTGCAGTTACGGGAATGTTCGGCATTATGACATTTGTTGGTGCATCCGCGCGCATCGAGCAGCTTAAGAAGGAAATTCGCGAGTTGGAGACTCAAATAAACAGCGAAAGAACAGTCAAATTATTACACGAGGCTTTGAAAAGTGCAACAATTGGAGTTGGTCAAGTAAGAAATTATTGGCGAAAGCGCGGTTCTGAAATTAAAGAATTACTTAAAGAGCTTGATAACGTTGAACAATGTGAACAGAATCTCAACGAACTGGAAGCATGGCATTTGAAAGCAAAATGGGTAAATTATCAAGGGGAATGTGAAGACTACGGAGAACAACTATGGAAACAAATAGAAGAGCACGCCACGATGAAGTTTAGAGTAAGTATCTTTAGATACATTTTACAAATTGTATATTAACCTATCCATAAACTGGTTATTAATCTTATTTTTCTTTACTTACTTTTATTTACTGAAAAAGTAAATCATGGATTTAAACGTGGGTCATAATAAAAAAAAATAGAATTACAAAGTAGCCACAACTTTTTGCTCCAATCATTTATTGTCAAATGCTTTATACAACGAATAAGTGTTCGACTGCCAAAGCTTAGAAGTTTTTATGGAAAACGTTCATTTACCGGCAATTATTTCCCCGACAGTTATTTCTCCAACAAAATTATTTCAAATTCGGTAGTTGATTATCGATTCAATCATTAATAATATTACTCAAGCTCCGAACAGATTAACCCCTCTTATTATGACATTTACATTATACTAAATTCGATAAAGATGACTATTGACTAATTACTGTATGAAAGCATGTTCGATAACAAATTTCATGCACCAAACTCTCAGATGGTATTTGATATGATTGTCGAAACCCGATTGACTGTACGATATGCCCGAGTGAGCTAAGTTTGTTCAAGGCTGTGTATAGCAAACTTAATTCCCGGCCATTTGCAGCAAAACGAATTCCAGATAAGAGGATATTACAAGGATCCACTTCTGGACATTTTGGTTGTAATCGAGAAATAACCTCATATTTAAGAATACCGTATACTACCGTGAGTAAGCACCCCCAAGATTACCTAGATTAACCGCATCACCCATAGTTAATTACGTGAGTATACCCCTTGACGCTGTTGCGGAGGGAGGCAATCATAACGCGGAAAATCATTTCACCGACGTAATATTTCGCCGACGATCATTTCACCGAAAATCATTTCGCCGACAACGACTACCAAAAAAGGATAATTTCGAAATAATGCTGGTGAATATGTCGGCGAAATGATTGTCGATGAAATGATTTTCGGCTAAATGGTTGTCGGTGAAATATTACGTCGGTGAAATAATACGGACCCTTTATAATGGATCATACAGACGATAACTCTTTATCTTTTATTGTATAATATATAATATCAATAGACGACGACAAACTATAACAAAATGCTTTTGATTAATTAATAAAGCGATAAATAATAACAAATGTCTTTTACTATTATCAAGATTAATGCAAGACCCATTGTTGCGGATCGTATGATTTACGATTCTGTATTTGTATACTCAATATGATCAATTATACGACTCAAAGATCTGTTTTGTATTTTGTCGATATTTCAGGTAGGCCGTGAACCGTATGGTTTGCTCTTCTGTATTCTTCGATACTTTCGGGTAGGTTATGATTTACGATTCCGTATTTGCATACTCAATGTAATCAATTATACGGCTTAATGTCTTACGTCTTACGGTCATGAATTATTGAGTTGGATTATGCAGATCGACATAATTTTATTGGTTGTCGTAAATATCATTCGATCGTAGGAATCCCAAAAACGGGGGACCAGCCCATTTTAAGATGGGACAATTGCAAATAATTTTTCATCACGGTAACACATGTACTTGGTAAGCTTTACCTAACTACAGCCGCTGCATAACTGAATTCAACTGTTCGCAATTTGCCGTTTAGTAACTTGCGCAATTATATTGCTTAATTGCTTCGCTTACCGTTATACCCCGTTAAATGGGCCGTAACGTTGTTATGGAATTCAGTGTATTTTGATTGGTGCAGCAAAAATTGATCGAATAAAAAAGGTAGAAAACCGTTTCTATGAAAAACAAAAATGCAACTATAGTATGTAAATTCGTAAAGATTGATTGATATGATTATCGCACGCTTACGATATCTACTACTTGTGTACCCAATGAATTTGACACTCGAAGTTACAAGTCTGGAATTGCCTCAAACGTGAGAATATCTGATAATTTACCACTTACGGCTCGATTTTACATTATACTTTGTTATATCACCATATATGTCAATACGCATACGAGCAGAAATTTGGTTATTGAATTACATGTTAATGACCGTCAGCATGTTTATGTTACCACTACGCAAGTTTATTGACAAATAATACACTTATCAACAAATTGAGTTCTAACCCTAGCAAAAAGAGAAAAACTCATTAAAAATTATAAATATATATATACTCTTATACATCCACCCAAAAGACTATTAACTAACTAGTCTACGTTTAATTAAAGTCATTTTCTAGAGATCAATTTGGGGGTTGGGTTCACATGTTACGGTTTGCTTCACTTTAGCAACGCCAACAACTTTATGCTTGAAATCGTCTTTGTCCTTTGCTACGATACAGCATTTGCCAACAAGATCCTTAACTTTCTTGCCATCATTGATGACTGTAGCGAATGGCAGATCGAAAATTTTCTTAATATTGTCCAAATCAAGGCCACCTTCGATATTTTCGAAACTAAAGTCATTACAGTCGGTAACATGTACGTCAAATTCGGGGTCAAGATCATCGGCCGCGACTTTCTTCTTAGGTTTCTCATAGTCCAAGAAGCCACTGACATATAACTGGTCGTTAAAGGTATCCACAAATTGAATAAATCCGTCAAACTTATGCTTAATCTTCTTATTATCATCATCATCATCATTACTCCAACGTTTCTTATGCTTCTTCTTGAATACACATTGAGCAATTGGGCAACAGTTATTATTATCCCACTTTTTTTCAAGTCCGGCTGCAGCCGTTGGTGTAGAAATTACAGCAAGAAGGGTAACCAAAAGGAAGATCAAGCAGACGGTTTTGCTCATTTTGATAGTGTTGTTGATAGTGTTGTCGTTAAATAACAGAAAGTTGTATCTTTATAAGAAAGAGTCGATTGATCGATTGCTGTGAGCCTTGTTCTTGTAAACTTGTCGCTGTTGGCGATGTGGAAAAAGAGCTTGGGTCCCCCCACTTATATAGCTGTGCAGGCTAGAAGAGCAGACATATATCAAACAATATCTTAAACTACGGAATATACGCGAGTTAAAAATAGACAACAGGGTTGGTAGAACAAACACATTCACAAATAGCAATAAGTATAATGTTTTTATTTTGAGACAAAGAATCGCGTACACAAGCGGGCGCAAAGATTATCTAAATTCAAACTAACCCATGTAAAAAAATAGACAATTAATGCAAGGGTTACTTGTAGTTTAATGTTCTATTGGGTTGAACGTATTGACAGGAAAGAACAGAGCTTATGTTGTAACGCCGTTATTATTGAAACAAATAATTTCAATGACCGCATCCTTGCTCGGGTAAACTGTAAAGAAGTATGTTTGCTGACACACACAACAAAATTTCTTCTGAAGCAAGTACAAAGATGTCGAGCGTCGGTAAACTATACAATAAATGACGGGCATTCGATTCATAGACTTGCAAAATTTGACTTATTAGTACTACAAAGTGTAACACAGTTTCAAAAAAAGCCGACAACAGTGATGATCATAAAAATAGAATGCAGTATTTTTAGATCGTTCTCAGTAGAAATTTCGTCGAATCTTTTGTCAGACGAAAAACAAACTAGGCAACTTGTTGTGCAGATTCTATTTTTTCAATCAGGAAGTGCTGTGCTGAAGATCAGCGAAATTGGGAACTGAATTTGTGTGCTTAAATCTGTGATCCATATCAGAAATTTAGTAATCTAGACACGGACGAGAGTACAGACACAATGTCTCCAAGCCTTTTGCTATCTCATAAGCTGTGAACTGTCTACAGTTTTTTACGTAGCAGTTAATGTGATAGCAACTTGTTGAAAGCCCTAATTATTAAATTCAAAATGGGTATGTAAAATAATCGCTCTCCTGCTGCATACGTAAATGAATGTTACATAATCTCTGTTAAGCAGGAAACAAAGCGGCGTATAAAAATAGTGACATAAATTGTATGCCAAAATAACCGGATTAACACTCGCGAAATTCTGAGCAAAAAAATTTCTGGTCTGCATGTAACAATATCGCATTTTCATTCAAAAACGGTGCATATCAATTGTACTCGTTGATTCACATATTCTTGTCGGTGTTTCATACCCGATCCACGCATACGATCCACTGACACAATCCGCAAATGCATATTCTCTTTTTTTCTCCTCTTTTCATTCATGCAATCTGTACAATCGAGGCAACTGCCTTTTAAAATAAAGTTTGTGCATGTGAAGATACAATTGTTTCTAGAAAAATAAGTCGAGTGTTGAGGTAATATCATTTAAAAATAATTCTTGTGATGGTAGTAAAACTAAAGACAAGAATAAATTTGAAGATGATGATGGCTTTGAAACAATTATGTTTACAAACAAAGGCTTGTCAGAAAGTTCTATTATTGGACGCAATAATAAATGTAACTGACAGTGTAAATTTTCTTATTATAAATAAGCTCTTTGGGGGGATTACAAAATTTTCATACTTTAATTGTTAGGGGGGTAGGTAGTACTAACGCAGTCGTAGTCAATGATTAATAGTTTTATTTTTATTCATTTCCTAATTCAAATGTTCTTATTTTCCGCAAACTAACAATGATTTTTGATATCGTGTTGTCGGAACTTTCTCAAAATGTGCTATTTTATCAAACCGTTATCAAACCGTTATGCATCTAACTTATACTGGCTGTATAGGGACAAGTATTTTTTCGTCGTATAATACTGTAGATTGGTAATATTCACTTCTCGATCGTTAATAAAAGTAACTTCAACTACTGAGTTTAGGCGATGTAATGATTAGCCGGCGCTTAATAATTGAGGTAACACCAGAAACATACATGTGTGTAATTTGTATAACGCACAGTATTTGGCTTCCCCCATAGTCGACATTTTTCCATTCCTGGTACATTCAACTAATGCTGTCAGACCATCAACTGATTGTTTCCCAGACGATCGGGGTGACACCAAAAAAAAACCAAATGCGGAAACTGATGGTCAAGGGAACTATGCCAATCATAATCGAAACTTCGTTGCCATAGTCGTCATTTTCCCGTTTCCGGTACGTTCAACGATGCTGTCAGACCATCAACTAATCGTTTTATTAAAATTATTGTTTCAGATTTGCGACATTAGAACCTTACATCAGATAATAATATTACTTGCCGTCTTTGTCCGAACGAATGGGCTGGTCGGATGACATTCATTAAATTTTGTAGCTAAATCGATACGTGTACGTCAAATAAACTGGTTTTTCTTAACGATTCAAACGTTCAAAAAGTTTAGCTGACTTACAGTTGATTATATAGTTGGTTCTGTTCTTAACAATTGAGCGAGAAATCGCTTACATTGAAATTCAATATTAAACAACTGCACTAGTATTGTTGAAATTGTTCCGTTCCGATGGTGTCACTAATTAATCTCAGGCTCTCATTTATTATTTACCGGAAATAAACAAGTTCGTTGATTGTTTTTATAAATGACAAGTACCGATCAGAAAGCCATTCTTAGATTAAGTGTTAAGCAAACAATGATAAAAATAGACGTTCACTGTTTGTAAAATGCCCAATCAATTTTGAGCAATGTCAAGCCCCAAACACTTGAGGCAAACATTATCTTACCGTTAAGGAACGTAAATATAAATTATCAATAGGTTTTTGTGGTATTGGACATTTTCTGAAACAACAAATGGTGTTGCTGTGAGTATGTGTATACACCCTTATTCGTGTGCGTCGAGATAAAATTTTTGATAGATTAGAATAAATAAAATCGGGAAGTTTGGTGCCTCATCTATGGAAATATATTTGCTTTCAAAAATGACTGAGCGGGTAATGAGTTGGTCTTTTTCGTAATTTGATAGTGTATTTAGGACGATGTTTTGTTTTATTTAGACGTTGTATTTCATAGTCAGCGATTTTTGCTTCATTAAGACATGCAGACGCCGTTGGGGTGTTGTACATATCATTTACAAAGAAATCTGTAACGTGCAGAAATCGTGCAACACATCATAATAGTTAAGGATATATACTAATTGTAGAAATGTTTGTCTAACATAATACTGTGAAACATGTTCTTTACTTCAGTAATTAATAATTGCAAGTGAGTCGAACTTCTGTTAGTGGGGGCCAATTAATTATCGATTTTAATACTCAGCATAAACCTTTACCTGCAATTGTTACTGGCATTACATTAGTGCATAGTTAGATTGTTTCTCTCTGGTTTTAAAGGTATTTGCCATGCCATTTCTACGCAACATAAACAAGTTAAATAAGGAACGTAACTTTTACCTGAATAAAGTCTTGAAACTAATATTACTCACGTGAGAAACGATAGTCATAAGCAATTTACAAATACATAATATAATTATTCGGCTATATTAGTCTACATCTGGCGAATAACGAGCTGTCAAGCCCGAGACAGTTTTACAGCAAATTTTTACCATATACAATAAATTTGTTATCAAGTCACAATTGCACAATGTCGTTACTAAATAGTAAATTTATTGTTTACAGATATACTACTACAATCGAACCTTTGCAAGAGAGAACGCTCTTTACAAATTATAAACAACTAGTATACATGTATATGAATCAAATAACTAAAAAAAAAACAACTTAATCTTGGAGGAAAAAAGTCGTTATTTTTCTCTACTAGTCTCGATTTAATTGGGATCACTGCCAATATCAATTTTGTTAGGGTTGCAAAATGTAGTGACTGGAGAAAGCAGAGTCTGTGTTAGAATAAGAGTTGAAGCAACAATTTATGTTGCGTTTGTAATCAATAAAAGAACAAGTTTATCCAAATAAACCTATGGTAAAAGGCAAGTGTTTCAGTCGATATTAGCCATAGTTAGTCCTAAATTTTGCCCAAAATTAAATTTGAATTAGTTCTATAAGCGTAACAACCAGTAAGTTAAATATAGGCTATTGATTACAAAAAGACAGACGTCAATATCGCAGATAAAAGTAGATGCACGTATTTTTAGATTTCTACGAGAAAATTTCGTTGAGTGATTGTCAGGAAACAAATGTCGATTACTTTGTCGCACAGCTTTGTTCATATCCTGATTGTTTTCGGAAAATACAATCATGATGTGTTACATTTCAAATGAACAACACGGCTAAGACATGTTCTTTTTGTTTTAAGGTTTGATGCCTACAGTCAAGGACCGAGCTCGTACCCTCATTTCTCATGTTTATCTGGTTATCTAGATAACTCATTCAAGTTTGTGTTCAGTTAAAAAATAGATAAAGTTCGGTGACAGTACGCCGCGCCAGTGTCATTAGCCGTGACACAGGTGAGGGTCATCAATCAAAACAATTCCAAGCCTTATACTATCTCTCTTCCAACGAATGTATGTCATGCTTGAACTGTCTAATACATGTAACTTGAAGACGATGTCTAATAATCGGAGGGTCTCGTTCCGTCAGTAAGTAGAATAATATTTGACGACAGATACAGTATAATGCATAAAGCATCTAGATTATGCAACACGTGTATAATTGCAATCGAAAATATGGTGGACGATCTACACGAAAGTTGCATTCTCCGCGCGGCACTAATTTAGCTAATTTGTGGATGATCATCCATATAAGGCATTTTCATACTACCGGTTTTGCTCTTATTTTCATCAAAGTTTTACCGTGACATTTACGTTGAATGTCACAAAGAATTTTCTTAACACTTAATGTTGCACCTTACACAACGGACAATTATACGTAATAAATTTACGCAGTAATCAATTTTCGTTTGTTTGTCGCCAACTGTCTACTTATTTCTTACGAATAAAAGTTTGTCAATAAAAATACAACACAGAAACACAAGATTAGTCTGTTCGTTATCAGTACAATGCTAACTACCCCTTTGTCTAATAAAATTGTTTATATTTAAAAGACAAAGTAACGCAATCCAAAATAATTTTTATTATAGCGTTAATAACTATGATAACAATAAGAATGGGAAAAGCCAATTTAAAATTAGCAAAGTTTTGAAGAACTCGTATTACAGCAAGAGTATTTAATGGTCTAATTACATCAATACGGGCGATAATCAGTGTGCTGTAATCAGATCATCGAGGAGGAAATATGTGTGATTCTTGCATTACTATAGTCGTAGTTACTTTCTGTGACTACTTTTCCGAATTCCAATAATACGCAGGAGGCCCCGATTCTAATTGTGGATATGCTATTAATTTGTCGGAACTTTCGACTTTTTCGGTCAACAGACCAGCCTGTATATCATGTATTATTCTCTTAAAACTAAATGGTGTCTATTAATATAATACGATAAACATGTTTCGACAAGACTTCACATGATAGTAATTCGTATATGTCATAACGATAGTAATAGTTTGTTTGCATTTGCTGTTTGTTTGCCTAAAATCGATAAATTTATTGTCAAGTCGATATTTACCAACAAATTTGTGTGAAATTATGCCTAAATCGGAAATCTGATCTACAGTAACACTAAAACCAAAGAATTCTTTCAAACTTAAATTTTTGATGATTATGATGCTCTCAGTAACTTAATCATATTTAGCCTCATTTACCCGACTGCGATTGATACAATATAATACAAATTGCACTATTCGATATACTCAACTGTTGCTGGCAACACTTGTTGCTCTTAGTCCGACGATACTTCAATACTGCCGATAGTATTACAGCACATTACAGCTGACCAGTTAAAAACTCTTAAACAATTCGCACACCTTGCACAACAGACAAGTATGATAAATGGCTTTTGTTTATTTGTCGTCATCGTGCCTTCAACAGTCAGCCAATAAAAATATAGTATAATAGCACATGATTTATCTATTCGTTATTAACGCATCTTGCACAAATGTATATAGCCACACCTTGCCATAATAAAGGTTGAAAGGTAATGTTTGTAAAATTGTAAAAACAAAGGCAAATAACACTATCCAAAATAGTATTTGTTTATAGCGTTGGCTGTGATAACAATAAGGATGGGAAGAGCTGATTTTAAAATTAGAAATGGTTTGAAAAGCTCGTATTACAGTAACGATCGATGAACGATAATCAACGTAATTACTGATTGCTGTAAATCTTATCATAATCAGATCATTGTGGACTTGCATGCTGTCAGAATTTCTGACTTTTGCAATGAATGCTTATAGATTTAAATACCGCTATTATAATTATTAATTGTTAGTGTATCTTGTATTCAGTACTACAGTCGAGTGCAGCAGTTATGACATCTCTCAAAACTAAACAATTATTATTAACAAGCACTTTTAGATATGAAGGTATTTTGTATAGTATGAGCGCTTCGGTCTGTCTATTTAATGCACATCGTTAAATTCCATTTATTGTCTGCGACTGACAAACTCAGCGAAAAAATAGCCGACCAAAGTCGATAAACGTAGAATAATTCAAAATAAAATTAATAATTACAATATTACTATTTTATGGAAACTATAATTAGCAACAGCAAGCTACGCAAACACTAACTCGGTTCCGTGATCAAACAAACGTAAACTGTCGATACTTGTTGCATGTGATTTGGTGGATATGGCATTTGAACAATTAAAGACTTTATTTACGCTAACATATACGCAATAGGTTAGATGTGATAAAAAGTAAGATTTATTAAACGATGCGCGTGTATGAAACAAGGATTTACCGCGTTTTACAAAAATAAATTGTGGTTTACGATGGTCTAATTGTAACGATATAAACTGATTGTTGACTAATAATAAGGAATATAATTACTGCGAGTTTTCTTGAACAACGAATGTACGAAAAAAAAGGGGTTTAACGTGTAAATCAAAAATATTAATCGAGCAAAAAATTAATGTCTGTGTAAATTGTCAGCATTACCCCCTCTTGAAGAGAATAAGCCGATTGCATAACACAATTCTGATACGTCTTAATTGAGAGAGGTTTAAAGCACGTTTAGATAATTGGCTGTCTAAAGCTTTGCCATATATGTAACAACACCAGGAACAATATGTAATAATTAATTTGGTTATCAAATCACAAATCATAATAAATGTGCATCGTTTATTGTTACTAAAAAAATATCACGTCCTACAGTTTGCCAAAGAGAGAAAATCTTTACTAAACTATTAACCACACACGTATAGTATAATATTAAGCAAAGAATGACAAAAAAAAAGACTATCTATTAACTAGTCTTGATTTAATTGGGGTCACTGCCGATAACAATGCTGTTAGGGTTGCACGATACGGCTTGCTTCACCTTTGCAACGCCAATAAGTTTATGTTGGTTATTGGGTCTGTCCTCTGCAACAACGCAGCATTTGCCAACAACTTGACTAACTTTTTCAAAATTGGGATTGTTACTGACAACATTAATGAACGGCTTATCGAAAATGTCATCAACATGGTCCAAATCAAGTCCGCCTTCAAGATTGCTGGCTTCGTTCAATTGGTTACAATCAACTACATGTACGTCAAAGCCTTGGTTATCAGCATCGACTTCCTTCTGAGCGTTTTCAAAGTCCAAGAAACCGGTGACATAGAGTTGTTGATTAAATGTTTGGGTAAATTGAATAAATCCATCAAACTTGTTCGTGTTGCGTTTGCGTCTGCGTGATGGGAAGTTTTGGTTCTCCTCAAATATACAAATAGCAATTGGACAGCAAGTATTGTCGTCCCATTTCTTCTCAAGCCCGGCGGCCGCGGCTGGTGTTGAGATTACGGCGAGAATAGTAACCAAGAGAAAGATCAAGACGGCTTTGCTCATTTTGATAGTTTTTCGTTTCAATTACAAGAGTAGATTGTTTCGTTATAAGATGGATTGGTTTGAATGCTTCAAGATTTGTTGGTTGCCTGAGCAATGTGGAAGAAGAGGTGAAATCTCCTCGTTTATATAGCAGTGAAGGAGAGAAAGACACACAATAAATTACAATATTAAACGACCATTTAAACTACAAATATACACGAGTTAAAAATAGACTGTCAAGTTTTGGTAGAACAATGCATTTGCGATATAAAAAGAACACGTAGTTGCTTATTTTGCGGTTTAAGGAAGACAAATGTCGCGTATGAACAAAGTGACACCATCTCATACTAAAATATCTTCTAAAATTAATTCACCAATAAAAAAATGTCAAGCGCAAACGTGGTATCAAACAATGTGGACAGACTTTATTTGATTGTGTTGTTGATTCGAATGGGGCGTACGCAAAATGCAACTGTAATGACTAGAGTCTGCGTTGGAATAAGAGCTGAAACAATAATTTAGATTGCGTTTGTAATTAATGAAGAGACAAAGCCATTCAAAACTTTATCAATTGTATCGACAAGGGCGCTATAATACGGTAACTGGTAGGGTATCAACCATAGTTAGTCCTAAACTTTACAAAATTGTGATTTAGTTAAAGTAATTGTTATAAGCGTGGCAATCAATCAAGTTAAATATAGATTATTGATCAGAAAAAGATAGACATCAATATTACAGATAAAATTAGATCACGTATTTTTAGACTTCTACAGGGAAATGTCGTTGAGTAATCATCAGGAAAAAATGTTCGATTAAATTGTTGCACAGCTTTATGCATGACCTGATTTTTACTATTATGTTGCGTTACATTTTAAATAAACAAAGGGCTGAGACATATTTCTTTTTGTTATAAGGTTAATGCTTACAATCAAGCACGACATTAGTTCTTCTTTGAGTAAAACAATCACAAAATTGGAACGAGATTGTGTATCCTCTTTCTGGTTATTTAAGTTTTCCAATTAGTAATATTAAAAATGGGGGTAAAGTTCGGTGACCGTAGTCAGTATTATTAGCCGTGACACAGGTGAGGGTCCTCAGCCTACAGTTCTAAATCTTATGTTATCTCTCCAACAAATTTAAAAAACTATTTAATACTTATAACTGGAAGATGATGTCTAATAATGATAATCGGAGCGTTTCTGGTCCGTCAGCAGTATAATATTTATAGCGTGTAAAGCGTCTAGATTATGCAACGCGTGTAATAAACCGCAAAGCAAGTACAATTGATAAGCACCGTTTGCAACTAAAAATATGTTAGACACTGTGTAATTATCTTACGCGATACTAATTTATCTAGTTTATGGATAATTATCCATATAAGGTGTTTTCATACTACCGGGTTATACTCCTATTTAACAAAGCACATTTATTTTTGTACACATTACACGAGCTCGATTATCTTACATTGAATATCACAACACTTTATGTTTATTCGCACCTTACACAAAATAATGAATTTACGCAACAGCCATTTCCGCTCAACCGCCTATTCATTGTCTGCCTTCTCAAAAGTTTGCCAATAAAAATACAATACAGAAACACAAGATTAATTTATTCGCCATCTGCACATCGTATAATAATAACTAACTATCCCCTTAGTCTGACCAAAATTGTTTGTATTTGAAAGTAATGTTTGTAAATTAATAAGAACAAAAGACAAAGTAACGCAATCCAAAAATAATTTTTATTTATAGCGTTGATGACTGTGATAACAGTAGGGCTGGGAAAAGCCGATTTAAAATTAGCAGAGTTTTGAAAGACTCGTAGTACAGCAAGAACGTTAATGGTCTAATTACATCGATACATTGCGATTGTTGATGCTGTAACCCTTATTATAATCAGATCATGGGAATATGTGTGTGATCCTTGCATCACTAGAGTCGTGGTCCCTTTCAGTTATCACTTTTCCGGATTCCAATAATACGCAGAAAGCCCCGATCCTTAATTGTGGGCATGCTATGATAACAATATCAATTTATCAGAACATTCGACTTTTTCGGTCATCTGTATATCTTATATTCGGTACTACAATTAAATACGTTAGCAATTAACCGTAATACACTCACCGGAAAAAAGTATCGACAAAATCTTGGTGTAACACATCACACGCAAAAAATACGTCAACTTTGATA